GGAAAAGCGTAATATCTAGCCCGGAGTGCACCATGGCTCATGGCACAGTCCGTCACAGCTTCCCTTGGCTAAGGGAGGGAGTTCCCCGACCCCCTGCACTTTCCGGGTGAGGTGACTCCCCACCCTGCTTCTGCTCACCCTCCATGGGCTGCACCCACTCTCTAACCAGTCCCAATGAGATGAGCTAGGTACCTCAGTTGGAAATGCAGAAATCACCCGCCTTCTGCGTTGATCTTGCTGGGAGCTGCAGACCAGAACTGTTCCTATTCGGCCATCTTGCCAGCCACCCTCTTCTTTTATCTTACGTGTTAATTGAATCCACTGTTGTTCATTCAGAGAATAATTCTTACCTGCTTAAGCTACTGGTTTATGTAAAGAGCAATATGATAAAATGGAAGGGCTCTGATCTGAGATCTGGGGTCCCATCTCAGTTCTGCCATGAATTAACTACAAAATTGCTGGCAAGATACTCTCCCTGGGCCTCAACTTTCCACACCTACAAAATGAAAGTATTTGGGAAAAAGATATTTTTCTTCGTTTTGAGATTCTAGGCTCCATGCTTCATAATTCCAGACTCTTCTTGGCCTTCACTGTCAAATTAGGGTAACAGCTTTGGCGTAGAAGTGACCAGAGATTATATATGCCGGTTTGGGGTTCAGTATGTCAGCACATTAACCAAAGTCAATGTATGCGGCAGAGGTAATTGGTTCTTAGTTTTCTTTTCTTTTCTTTTTTGTTTTTGAGGTGGAGTCTCACTCTGTCACCCAGGCTGGAGTGCAGTGGCACGGTCTTGGCTCACTGCAACCTCCACCTCACAGGTTCAAGCAATTCTCCAGCCTCAGCCTCCTGAGTAGCTGGGATTACAGGCGTCTGCTATCAAGCCCAGCCAATTTTTTGTATTTTTAGTAGAGACGGGGTTTCACCATGTTGGGCAGGCTGGTCTCGAACTCCTTACCTCAAGTGATCCACCCACCTTGGCCTCCCAAAGTGCTGAGATAACAGGTGTGAGCCACCACACTCGGCCCTGGTTCTTAGGTTTCAATATCTCAGAAAGCTAATCAAAGATCTTAATCTCATTTAAATCTCTTGATTTTATACACAGTAATAACAGTGAACACATGGTGAAATTCGGCTCATCTAACTCAGAAACTTCATTTTAGGACAATATTTCAAACGCCTTTCCCATCTAGGCATTTTTCAGTAGCAGACATGTGGCACACCTGACTCCCTTCACCTCCCTCTTAGTGAAGGTTTAGGGATTAGACATGTACTCAGAGCCAGAACTCAGTGGCCTAAATCACCAGTCCTTGCATTACTACAAACTCACCTTGAGTATAAAAGATCAATTCTCTTTATGCCCATTGTGATGCTGGAAACATTACTTCTCTCCTCAGTTGCTGTTTTTTACTTAGCATCTCATTTTGAAAATCTTTGTTTCTCTGTGGCCACTATGACATTTGCTCCACTGAGCTTTCTGGCTTTAATTTTTGTCCCCTCAATCAGTTCCAAACAGCCCTACTGAAGTAGCCTCAGAAACTTGCATTGCGATTCCACTCTTTAATGATTTCTCATCTAAATATTAATTACCATCCAACATTCCTGCATTTGTGGTCATCTTGTCATTACATCTCGCTGACCTAAATGAAGAAATTCCTATTCCATTTACTCCAGATTATCCATATAATTCTTCTTGAAAGCTATTCTTGGGATGTGCTAAGGAAAGTACTTGACTTTTGGTGCCTGACGATGTAGGGTTTAAGTGCTGGCTGTACCACTTACTTAGGAAATTTCAGAACGGTATTAAATTCTTATAAATGGGAATAATGCCTACTTTATAAGGTGTTTCAAAAATTCAGTGATAATGTATGTGACATTCACAGCACAAGGTCAGTCTGTTGAGAAGAACCCTGCCAGTGGTGACTATGAAGATGATGATAAGTACCCATGGCATGCCATGAACAGTCACCTTTGCTGACCTCAGCCACCAAACGCTGGCCCTTCCAGCTTTCCTGGATCCTGTGCTTTTTTCTGGGATAATATGTAGTTCTCCATGTGGCTTGAAAACAAAACACTCCTTCAAATGGTTGAAGTATCTTTATTATATACATGGTCTGTGCTTTATCATACTAATTTTCTTTTTTTTCAAGACAGGGTCTTGCTCTGTTGTCCAGGCTGGAGTGCAGTGGCATAATCACAGCTCACTGCAGCCTTGAACTCCCAGGCTAAGACAATCCTCCCACCTCAGCCTCCTGAGTAGCTGGGACCACAGGCACACACCGCTGGGTAATTTTTAAAAAGTCTGTAGAGGTGGGGTCTCACTATATTGCCCAGGTTGGTCTCAAACTCCTGGACTCCAATGATCCTTCCACCTTGGCCTTCCAATGTGTTGGGATTACAGGTGTGAGCCACCTTGCCCAGCCCTAAATTCTTTTTCTTATGGTAAAATACACAAAAATGTACCATCCTAACCATGTTTAAGTGTGCAATTCAGTGGTGTGAAGTACATTCACATTGTTATGTAGCCATCACCACTATCCATCCCCTGAACTTTAAAAAAATCATCCCAACAGAAAGTCTATACCTATTAAACATTAACTCTCTATTCCCCGCTACCCCCAGCCCCTGGAAACTACTTTCTGTCTCTATGAATTTGCCTAGGTTCCTCACATAAGTGGAATCATATTTGTCCTTCTGTGACTGGCTTATTTCATTTAGTATAATGTCCTTCCTCAAGGTTCATCTTTGTTGTAGCATATATAAGAATTGCACTTCTTTTTTTTTCTTTTTTTCTTTTTTTTTTTTTTTTTTTATTCTTTTTTCTCTTATGGTAAAATACAAAAATGTACCATCTTAACCATGTTTATGTGCAATTCAGTGGTGGAAGTACATTCACATTGTTATGTAGCCATCTATCCATCCCCTGAACTTTAAAAACTTTATCCTAACAGAAAGTCTATACCTATTAAACATTAACTTCTATTCCCGCTACCCCCAGCCCCTGGAAACTACTTTCTGTCTCTATGAATTTGCCTAGGTTCCTCACATAAGTGGAATCATATTTGTCCTTCAGACGTTTATTTCATTTAGTATAATGTCCTTCCTCAAGGTTCATCTTTGTTGTAGCATATATAAGAATTGAAATTTCTTTTTTTCTTTTTTTTTTTTTTTTGAGACGGAGTCTCTCTGTCGCCCAGGCTGGAGTGCAGTGGCGCAATCTTGGCTCACTGCAAGCTCCGCCTCCCGGTTCACGCCGTTCTCCTGCCTCAGCCTTCCTAGAGTATCGCTGGGACTACAGGCGCCCGCCACTGCGCCCGGCTAATTTTTTTTCTATTTTTAGTAGAGACGGGGTTTCACCATGGTCTCGATCTCCTGACCTTGTGATCCGCCCGCCTCGGCCTCCCAAAGTGCTGGGATTACAGGCGTGAGCCACCGCGCCCGGCCCTTTTTTTTTTCTTTTTCTTTTTTTTTTTTTGAGATGGGAGTCTCACTCTGTCGCCAGGATGGAATACAGTAGCACAATCTTGGCTCACTGCAAGCTCTGCCTCCCAGGTGTTAAGCAACTCTCCTGCCTCAGCCTCCCCAACAGCTGGGACTACAGGTGTGCACCACCATGCCCAGCTAAGTTTTGTATTTTTAGTAGAGGCAGGGTTTCACCATATTGGCCAGGCTGGTCTTGAACTACTGACCTCATAATCCACCCACCTCGGCCTCCCAAAGTGTTGGGATTACAGGCGTGAGCCACTGTGCCCAGCCAAGAATTGCACTTCTTTTTAGGGCTGAATCATAGTCCATTGTAAATATATCTCATTTTGTTTATCCATTCATCCATGGATGACATTTGGGTTGTTTCCACATTTTGGCTAGTATGACTTTATCCTATTGTACGTTCTGCAGCAATTTACATCTTTATTTTCAGAATTACTAAGTTTCCTCATACTGATAATACTAGGAAGAGAGTCATGAAAGACTTTTTTCATTTTTTGGCCAATTTATTATTATTATTATTATTTTTTTGGGGGGCAGCCACAAAGACTGGGATTTCTAATTCTATGCTATGATAAGTGGACAATTTAAGCTATTTTTAATTTTTTTTCTTAAATTAAACCATTTATCTTTTTTTCCATTTCCTTTTCCAAAAAAAATGTATTTTTCTAAAATATGATCATGTCAGTTTGGTCTATTTTATATGTGTTAAGGAGAGCAATAACAGACAAAAGAATAACCTAACAATTAGGTATTCAGTTAAAAAAAAAAAAAGTCGGCCGGGCACAGTGGCTCATGCTTGTAATCTCAGCACTTTGGGAGGCTGAGGCGGGTGGATCACCTGAGGTCAGTAGTTCAAGACCAGCCTGGCCAACATGGTGAGACCCCATCTCTATTAAAAATACAAAAAATTAGCCAGGCATGGTGGCAGATGCCTGTAATCCCAGTTACTCCAGAGGCTGAGGCAGGAGAATCACTTGAACCCAGGAGGCGGAGGTTGTGGTGAGCCGAAATAGCGCCACTTCACTCCAGCCTGGGCTAGAGTGAGACTCTGTCTCAAAATAAAACGAAAAAAAAGTAGCGGATGGGGCAATAGATAGCCTACCTCTTCTTGAACCAAGTTGTGAACTGTTTAAGAAATAGCTAATAGGCTGGGCATGGTGGCTCACACCTGTAATCCCAGCACTTTGGGATGCCAAGGCAGGCGGATCTCCTGAGGTCAGGAGTTGGAGACCAGCCTGGCCAACATAGTGAGACCCTGCCTCTACTAAAAATACAGAAATTAGCTGGGCATGGTCGTACATGCCTGTAATCCCAGCTACTTGGGAGGTCGAGGTAGGAGAATCACTGGAAACCAGGAGGCAGATATTGCAGTGAGCCGAGATCATGACATTGCACTCCAGCCTGGAGCCACAGACAAGACTCTGTCTTGGAAAAAAAAAAAAAAAGAAAAGAAAAGAAAAAGAAAGGGAAGGCAGGGCAGGGCAGGGCAGGGCAGAAAAGTATGGTATAAGGGGGCCAGAATATTACTTTTATTATGAACAAAGCTGATTTGGGAGAATGCAGTTTATGTCTACTTACAGGCAGACGGCCATCTTAATTCTATACCCCAGAATTAAACAGGTCTCCCAGCCACTCACAGACAGGTCTCCTGCAGGGAAGCAAAAATTATCAACTGACATATAGTCTGATTAAATGCTTGTCTTTTATACCTGCTATTGTTTGAGTGTGTCTCCTCCAAAATTTAGGTGTTGCTAAAGTGATTTATGATATTAAGAGGTGGGGCCTTTAAAAGGTGATCGGGCCACAAGGGCTCCTATCTTGTGAATGGGATTAGATGCCCTTATAAAAGGGCTTCAAAGAGGGAGTTCATCCCCTTTTGTCCTTCTGCCTTCTGTTATGAGGACACAGCATTCGTCCCCCACTCCTCAAGATGCAACAGTCAAGCCGCCATCTTGGAAGCAAAAAGACCAGACCCTCACCAGGTAACTGAACCTGCCAGTGCCTTCATCTTGGACTTTCTGACTTCCAGACCTGTGAGGAAACAAATTCCTGTTCTTTATAAATTACCCAGTCTCTGGTATTCTGGTATAACAGCTTAAAACAGACTAACACAATGCCCTCAACCCACCTCTCTGCCTTGGCACCCATCACACTGTATAGCAATGAATCTTGGCCTGTCTCTTCCCTATGACCATGTTGCCTTCATCCATTCTTCCACTCACTCAACTGGTTTTATTTGAGTGCCTATTTTGGGCCTAGCAATAGCTAGGTCTTACATTCAGGACCTCAAGAAAGGACAGAAACTGACACAACCCCTACCCTTAAGGAGATCGGCACAGAAAATATCATAAAGGAGACGAGTGTGGTGTTAGACAATAAGAAGGGCAGAGTGACTTCACAAAGCAGGAGGAGAAAGTTTCTTGGGAAGTCACATTTTTGATGACACCTCAAGGTCAAGGAGTACTTCAGTATACTATACTCTGGTGTCTAGTAAAGGCAAAGCATGTAACAGAGCTCAGTAAATGCTTAACAAATTAATGAATGAGTGATACATGTGAAAACACTTCATATGCAAAGTACCACACAGATGTCAACCATTATCATATAGTTAATATGGAGAGATCATTTTTATTCAGTTCTCTGGAACACTCAAAAAGATATTACAGCATACAACAGAGAAAACTCATTAAGGATGTCTACTCATTTGGACATACCCAGAGTCCTGTCTTCCTAGGAGAGAGCTTGAAGCTATTAGGTGTAGGACTGAATACAGAGAAATTAGAGAACCAATCATCCCATTTCATTGTTTGACCAATCCTATTTTCCTCCATGCAAAAGCAAGAGTTCACAAAACTGATTTTTAAAAGAGTGATAAAATGACTTAAAAGATATAGGAAAATGAGGGAAATACATAATAAAGATTAAGTATTCTATTTCACTGATGGAAGGTAATGTTAACTAGATCTGAAAATATAAAGGCAGCAAGCTGCCATTCTCAAATTGATAGTGGACAGTGAAGAAAATGGCTCACTCTGTATCCATCATGGCACTGGAGTTCTGACAACCATGTGGAAAAAGACGGATAGTATTTTTGAAGCACGTAGTATGTATTAATACATTACCTCACTCAATTCTAACACAAATCCTGTGGGATGGAAATTCTACCCATCATTTACGAAGGAGGAAACAGGCTGAAAGATTTTATGTTCACATGGCAGAGATTTGAACTTAAGTTTCTGACTCCAAAGCAGAGAAGAGAACAGAAAAAAAGCAGATAAAAATACAGGAAGGCCACTGTAGAATGTTTTTTATCTGGTTTTTTTTTTTTTTTTTTTTTTTTTTTTTTGAGACAGAGTCTTGCTCCGTCACCAGGCTGGAGTGCAGTGGCGCAATCTCAGCTCACTGCAACCTCTGCCTCCCAGGTTTGAGAGATTGTCCTCAGCCTCTTGAGTAGCTGAGACTACAGGTGTGCACCACCACGCCCAGCTAATTTTTGTATTTTTTGTATTTTTAGTAGAGAGGGGGTTTCACCATGTTGGCCAGGATGGTCTCGATCTCCTGACCTCATAATTTGCCTGTCTTGGGCTCCCAAAATGCTGGGATTACAGGCGTGAGTCACTGCTCCCTGCCAGAATTTTTTTTTTTTTTTTTTTTTTGCAACCTAAGAATATTTACTTATTAAAACTATATTAATACTTTAATAAACTATACAAAAAAGGTAATGAGGCAAACATGTGCATTTATGGAACTGCAAGTCAATCAGGCCAGTTCCCTGCAGAGGGAATTCCTAGCAGGACCTAGTTCATCTGTGAGGACACAGAGCAGTCCTTGTTTAGACACAGACATTCATCTACTGCTCCAACATGGCCAGCCTTCCACTTCTTGATGGTTTCCTTCACTATGAATGCGCATGTCCAGCTGTCTGCTTCTTAGAGTGGACATTTACCTTCCTCATCCACCAGCCACTGGAGGAGGACTGGGGCCACGCAGATGATTGATTCTACCCATTCTTTGGGTAGGGTTTCGCGGTGGCCCTCTTCCATCATTGTATCTGGAATCAGATGAGTTTCTATAGCTTCTTTTTTTCACATCTTGCTGAAGCAGAGTTTTGAAAAACAAAACCATAAACTTGGCTATTCCCAAGAAAAAATCTGTTATCAAAGATAATCTCCATGGAGACTGACTCTGGCTGTCCAACACTTGTCCGTTTGAGATGTAAACCATCTTGCCCCACTTCCCCGCTTTGGAGTGGTGTAGAATTGTTAAGAATTCAGGAGCTAGCAAGCAAAGACACACTCAGAGCATTTCTCTTTGCTTCCTTGCCCTCTAAACTGTTCAATAAATAGTGAAGAACACAAAGCTAACTTCGGTATTTATCTGGGATCTGCTGTTGCTCTCCAATTTAAAAGCAAGACAGGAACATTAAATCTGTCACAGTTTAAATTGGTAAAGGTAGACCTCTATCCGATACAGGTGCTTCCTGACCTACGATGCGTTTATTGGGAAGGGAAAACATCCTAAGTCCTTTTAATACACCTAACCTACTGAACATCAGAGCTTAGCCTAGCCTACCTTAAACACACTCAGAATACTTACATCAGCCTACAGTTGGGCAAAGTCATCTAATACAAATCCTGTTTTATTAGAAAGTGTTGAATAGTTCATGTAATTTATGGGAACAACATTCTGAACATGAAAAACGCAATAGTTGTACGGAGACTTGAAGTATGGTTTCTACTGAATGTGCATCACCTTTGGAACTATTATAATGTTGAAAACTTTTAAGTTAAAGCATCGTAAGCCCCCGACCGTCTGTATATGAAACGCTCCCTAAGGGGCACTATGTCAGATACCATGCCTAAGTGTTTTCTAACTTTCTGTACTACATTCAAAAGGAGCATCTTCATAAAGATGTTACTGAAATCGTGGAAAATATTAGTCCTTCCTTTCTTTTGCAGCTAACAGGATTTCTGAAAGAAGCTCTAAACCACAAGCATATTCTAGCAACTGTTTGTTCTTCCAAGTATGAGCTACTTCCTTCCTCTGCCACCATCGCTCATATTCTAGTTTGAGGAAATATTAAGAAGCACAGTAAATCAGTCTGTTTTCAGAAACTGCTTAGTCCTTGAATTAATGTATCTTCTAAAGCTCCTTAAGATTTGGTCACTTAGAATAAAATCTGTTCAATTTGTAGCCAATTTGCATACAAGTATAAATGCATGAATTTTAAAAGCACCTTTAGGATTAAGAGACATTTGTTGTCTGTATTTACATAATTTAAAGCTGATTACTTAAGCAAGTTTTACAGCAATTTAAGAATAGTAATGAGACAAGAATCTTAAGATAATACATCCTTGCCAGGCACTATGGCTGATGCCTGCAATCTCAGGACTTTGGGAGGCCAAGACAGGCATTATCACTTGAAGTCAGGAGTTCGAGACCAGCCTGGCCAACATGGTGAAACCCTGTCTGTACGAAAAATACAGAAATTAGCCAGGCGTGGTGGCGGGTGCCTGTAATCCCAGCTACCTGAGAGGCTGAGGCAGAAGAATGGCTGGAACTTGGGAGGTAGAGGTTGCAGTGAGCCGAGATTACAGACTACACTCCAGCCTGGGCCACAGAGTGAGACTCCTTCTTGCAAAAAAAAAAAAAATAATAATACATTCTTTAGAACCAAGAATCTAGGGACAATACATTCTTTAGAACCAAATGTGTAAATGGTCAAACAAAGGATGTTTTTAACAACATGGTCCCAACTGTGGCAGTATCATAATCTTTCAAAGCTATCTGCAAAAAAGGGACAATGTCATCACTGGCTAATGAAAATTAGAAAAATTTAAGGAATTCTCAGCAAATGTCTTATCTTTTAAAATACCAATGATCATCCCCTAACAGGGTAAATGCACCTGTCTTTCCTAAAAACAAAGCAAAACCAAAACAAAATTCTACAGAAAGATATTATAAAATCAAGGATTAAATTTAGGTTAATAAGTGATTGAGGTTACAAGTAATACTACCTCTAGGATTTTAATTTTTATTTCTTTCTTTCTCACTCTGTTGCCCAGGTTGGAGTGCAGTGGTGTGATCTGAGCTCACTGTAACCGCCACCTACCGAGTTCAAGTGATTCTCCTGCCTCAGCCTCTCGAGTAGCTGGGACTACAGATGTCTGCCATCATGCCCAGCTGATTTTTATAATTTTACTAGAGACAGAGTTTCGCTATGTTGGCCAGGCTGGTCTCGAACTCCTGGCCTCAAGTGATCTGCCTGCCTTGGCCTCCCAAAGTGCTGGGATTACAGGCATGAACCACGGCGGCTGGCCTACCTCCAGGATTTTTAATTTCTCAGCAGGGATAATATGACATTGAAAACAAGCTTGTATTTTATCAATAAGGAAAAGATTTATTCACAACCAATTTCTGATTCAAAACACTTCCAAGCATATAACAAATGCCATTCTTAAAAGAGGGATTCCCTATTTGATTGTCTCAGTTTATTAGAATATGGATGGTCTTTTCATTCTAGATAACGTGTCCTTTGTTTGCTTTTTATATAGGAGTTATCTTGGAATCTGATAATTCTGAGACTCTACTGATGGCTAAGCACTACATATCTTCATTATGTGCCCATTTCCATTCATTCCTTAAAATATTATGAAACACTGTTACATACAAAATATGTATAATATAATGTATAATATGCATAACATATATTGTAGTATAACTATATTCATCATATAAGTATAACAAAAGCATGATGAAATGACCACCTGCAAATCTGCCATTCAACTTAACAGAATCATAGTACTATTGAAGCTCCTGTGTGTCCCTCCTCAATCACCGTGTTATATTGATCATTCCTGTGCTTTTCTTTATAGTTTTATCACATTTATAGCTAAGAAAGTGTATTTATAATTTGGCTTTTGAATTTTATAAAATACTATTATATTGCATGCATTCTGCTGCAACTTACTTTTTCACTCAGCATTGTTTCTGAAATTCATGTATGATGATGTGTATAGCTCTATTTCGATCATTTTCACTTCCATATAGTGTTCCATTGCATGGATAAACAACAAACTATTATCAGTTCTCCAGGTCTTGGGCACATTCTCCCTTGATTTGTACTGTTTTGATCATTTCTGTACTTGCTTCCCAGCCATTATCTGCAAGAGGTTTTTTTTGGGGGGTATGTTCTCCAAACAGGATTGATTGTTCATAAATTATGTAATTACACACACACATATATATATAAAAATATATAATACATACACATAATTATATGTATTCATATACTTGTTTAATATGAATATGAAATAAATGTTATATAATTATATATTATATAGAACATATACTATAAATGTAACTGTGTAATTCCAAAAAGGGGTTGCCAATTTACACTGCCACCAACAGTGTAAAAGTGATATCACCTAACTTAATTTTTTGACCATCTAAGGGGTATACAAATGGTTTCAATATGGTTTTAATTTGCATTTCCCTGAGCATTCTTTTATATCTTTATTAGCCACTGATATTTTTTCTTCTATGAAATGTATGAAATGCTATGGAATTTGCCCACTATGTTTTTGGGTTGTTTGTCTTCTACTTTCTTTTTTTGTTTGTTTCTTGAGACTGAGTTTTGCTCTTGTCACCTCAGCCTCCCAAAGTGCTGGGATTACAGGCGTGAGCCACCACGCCCAGCCCTTCTACTTGATTTTTAGGAGTTTGTTTGTTTTGGACCCAAGCTTTTTAATGCACTATTTTTTTCTCCAGGCAAAGGACCTTCAGAAAAGATCCATCCATAGATTTATAAATGGTACTTTTTTTGAGATTCATTCTCCCTCTGTTGCCCAGGCTGGAGTACAGTGGTGTGATCTTGGCTCACTGCAACCTCCACCTCCCAGGTTCAAGTGATTCTCCTGCCTCAGCCTCCTGAATAACCGGGATTACAGATGCACGGCACCATGCCTGGCTAATTTTTTGTATTTTTAGTAGAGACAGGGTTTCACCATGTTGGCTAGGCTGGTCTTGAACTCCTGACCTCAAGTGATCCACCCACCTCGGCCTCCCAAAGTGCTGGGATTACAGGTGTGAGTCACTGCACCCAGCCTACTTCAACCATTTTAAATTTTCTCATTTAAATCATAAATCCAAAGAACTGGATTTTTTTGTATGTATGGTATGAAGCAGAGAATCCATTTCCCCCCTCCATGTGGATAACCAATTGTCTTTGCACCATTTATTGAATAGCCACCCTTTTCCCATTGATCTACAATGCCAACTATCTTAGTCCATTTTCTGTTGCTTGTAACAGAATATCTGAAACTGGGTCAAGAAAAGGAATTTATTTCCAAGTTATGAAAGCTGAGATGTCAAGGTCAAGGAGCCATGTCTGGTGAGAGCCTTCTTGCTGGTGGGGACTCTCTACAAAGTTCTGAAGTAGCTGAGCATGCTCACATGCTATGCTAAAGATTCTCCCTCTTATAAAGCCACTGGTGCCCTCCCATGATAGCCCATTAATCCATTAATCCATGGGTGGATTAATCCATTGAGGGCAGAGCCCTCATGATTCAATCAACTCTTAAAGGCCCCACCTCTCAATGCTGCCACATTGGGGATGAAGGGTCAACATGAGTTTTGGAGGGCATATTCAAACCTGATATGGTCTGGCTGTGTCCCCATCCAAATCTCACCTTGAATTGTAGCTCCCAGTATCTCCACATGTCATGTGAGGGACCCAGTGGAAGGTAACTGAATCAAGGGCGTGGGATTTTCCCAAGCTATTCTTGTGATAGTGAATAAGACTTATGAGATCTGATGGTTTTATAAAGAGCAGTTCCCTACACACGCTCTCTTGCCTGCTACCATGTAAGATGTGCCTTTGCTGCTGCTTCGCTTTCCACCATGATTGTGAAGCCTCCCCAGTCATGTGGAACTGTGAGTCCATTAAACCTCTTTTTCTTTATAAATTACCCAGTCTTGGATATTTCTTCATAGCAGTATGAAAATGGACTAATGCAAAACCATAGCACTGATTTTGTCACATGTCAAATTTCCATATACTAATGTTCTATTTCTGTGTTCTCTATTCTATCAGTCCATTTAACTATCTGTGTGTATCGTGTCTAATTATTATAGCTTTATAATAAGTCTTGATAGCTTACAAGTTAGGGCAACTCCCTCACCTTGTCCTCTTTTTTCAAGAGTATTTTGGCTCTTTTTGGTTCTTTGCTTCTCCCTATGATGATTTTACAATACATTTATGAAGTTCCATGACGAATCCTATTGGGGCTGGATATGGTGGCTCACGCCTGTAATCCCAGTATTTTGGGAAGCCAAGGTGGATGGATCACCTCAGATCAGAAGTTTAAGACCAGCCAGACCAACATGGTAAAACCCTGCCTCTACTAAAAGTATAAAATTAGCCAGGCATGGTGGCATGTGTCTGTAATCCCAGCTACTTGGGAGGCTGAGGCAGGAGAATCACTTCAACTCAGGAGGCGGAGGTTGCAGTGAAACGAGCTCGTGCTATTGCACTCCAGCCTGGGCAACATGAGCAAAACGCCATCTCAAAAAAGAAAAAACCATCCTGTTGGAATTTTGTATGGAACTGCATTTAATCTAGAGATTAATATGGAAAGAAGTAACATCTTCATGATATTGAGCCTCTACTCTAGAACTTATCTACCCAATTAAATCTCTTTATTATTATTAATTTTTGAGATAGAGTCTTCCTGTCACCGAGGCTGCAGCACAGTGGCATAATCTCAGCTCACTGCAACCTCAACCTCCCAGGTTCAAGTGATCCTCCCACCTCAGCCTCTCAAGTAGCTGGGACTACAGGCGTGTGCCACCACACCCAACTAACTTTTGTATTTTTAGCAGAGATGGGGTTTTGCCATGTTAACCAGTCTGGTCTTGAACTCCTGACCTCAGGTGATCTGCCGGCCTCGGCTTCCCAAAGTGCTGGGATTACAGGCATGAGCCACCGTGTCCAGCCTAAATATCATTATTTTTATTACTAACCTATGTTTCATTAAAGTTTTAAAACTTCTTCATAATGTTCTTGTGTGTATATATATATACACACACACATATATACATATACATATATACATACATACACACACACACACACACACATATATATATATTTTTAGATGGAGTCTTGCTCTGTCACCCAGGCTGGAGTGCAGTGGCGCCATCTTGGCTCACTGCAACCTCTGTCTCCCGGGTTCAAGCGATTCCCCTGCCTCAGCCTTCCGAGTAGCTGGGACTACAGGCACATGCCACCATCCCTGGCTAATTTTTTGTATTTTAGTAGAGACAGGGTTTCACCATGTTGGCCAGGATGGTCTCAATCTCTTGCCCTCATGATCCGCCCACCTTGGCCTCCCAAAGTGCTGGGATTACAGGTGTGAGCCACTGCACCCAGCCTGTTCTTGCATACATTTTATTAAGATTTTATTTATTTATATTTTTGATGCTACTGTAAATGTTAACTTTTTATAAATTCTGTTTTTACCTGTTTGTTGCTGGCATATAAATGCAACTGTAGAAGTGCCAAATAAATGGTTAATTTTTATGAGTTAGTCATAGATGCTCTTTTGTTTTCTATGTAATCTAGTCTCTAATCAGGTTTGTCTCTTCCTTTATTAGCTATCTACTGGTGCATCATGAATTACCTCACACTTAGTGGCTTAAAACATGTACTTACTATCTCACAGTTCCTGTTGGTCTCCTGCTCAGGGTCTCACAAGGCTGTAATCAAGGTGACAGTCAGTCTGTGGTCCTTTTTAAAACTTAGTGTCCTCTTCTAAGTTCAGATGGTTGTTGGCAGGATTCAGCTGAGGCTGTAGGATTGCGTCCCTGCCTTGTTCTGGCTGTCAGCTGGGGGTTTCCATCAGCTCCTAGTGGTCCCCAAGGTTTCTTGCCAGGTGGCTCATTCACAGGCCTTCTTACAACATGATAGTGCACTCTGGTCCGCTAACAAGGAATCTTCTGTAACATCACATAATCGCAAGAGTAATTATTCTGTTACTTTTGCCATATAATATGAACCAGTCAAAGCAGTGACTATCCCCATCGCCTTAGCCATATTCTGTCATTGGAAGCAAGTCTCAGGTCTCATCTACACTCAAAGAGAGGTTGTGACTTACTTAGCGTTACTATAGGGTGGATTTCCAATCCTAATCACTTTTTTTCCTGCTATTCTGCATATGCTAGGCCCCCAGTACAATGTTGAAATCATGATAGTGATTATCCCGCTCTTGTTTATAATCTTAAAGGAAATCATTTAGTAATTCAGCATAAAGTAAGATACGTGCTGTAGGCTTTTTGTAAATGTCACTTACTAAGTTAAAAGAGTTCTCTACTCCTAGCTTTCTAAAATTTATTTTTAATAAAAATTACAAATGGCTGCCAAGGTTTACCAAACCTTTTTTCCTGCATCTTTTGAGATGTGATCTTTTTCCTCCATTGTTAAGCCACCCTGACATTCTGGAAGAAACTCAGCTTGATAATGATTTCTAGTTATTGCTGAATTTGCTTTACTATCTTGCTTTGGATTTTTCAAATTTGTCTTCATGATTGAGATTAATTGGAGAGTGCTTCCTCTTTTTCTATGTTCTGGAATAATTTACATAAAATTGGAATTATTTTTTTCCTGAATGTTCAGTAGAACGTTCCTGAAAACTTCTCTGGGTTTAGTGTTTGTGTTCTGGGAAGATTTTAAAATATCAATCAAATTTCTTTAATGATTATTCCATTTTTCCTTTAAAATTATTTTGATAACATAGTTTTGAGTAATTTGTCCATGAAATTTTGAAATTTGTTGCCATGAAATTATTCATAATAGCTTCTTGAAAAATAAATATCTTAATTTTTACAACATGAGTAGTTTAAAAATATATATTTCTTCAGATATGGGGTCTTGCTCTGTCACTCAGGATGGAGTATAGTGGCACGATCATAGCTCACGCAGCCTCCAACTCCTGGGCTTAGTTAGGCAATCCTCCCATTTCCCTCCCAAGTCACAGCGATTACAGATGTGAGCAACTGCACCCAGGTTTTTAAAAAAATAAATCTGGACAGAAATGTATTCTTTTTTAAAAAATGAATCCGTGTTTGACTTTATGGATCCTATTATACTAATTATACTGTTTCTATTAACTTCTGCCTTTACCTTATACATTTCATTCTATTTCCCTTTAAGATTTATTCTTATTAAATCTCCTAATCACCCCATCTCCATTTTCTCTATTTACATTGTGTTACTATTCCAGTTGTAATGTGAAGCTAGTAGGATGTTCCTTTTTGGAGGGTAATGGGGGTTCATCCTGGCATCATAAAAGTGTAAAAATCAAAACCAAATAAGCATATGTTTCATGTAGGCCAGGCATGGTGGCTCACACCTGTAATCCCAACACTTTGTGGGGCTGAGCAGGAGGATAGCTTGAACACAGGAGTTCAAGGCCAGCCTGGACAACATGGTGAGACCCTGTCTCTACAAATGAAAACATTAGCTATGCATGGTGGTGTGAGCCAGTGGTCCCAGCTACATGGGAGGCTGCAGTGGGAGGATCACTTGAGCCCAGGTCAAGAAGGCAGCAGTGAGCCATGTGGTGCACTCCAGCCTGGGCAAGACTCTGTCTCAAAAACAACAACAACAACAAAAAAAAAACAGATTAAAAAAAAAAAAAACACTTGTTCCTTTTCTCGTATCTTAAGATTATAATCTTACTTCACTGATTTTCATTCTGGTTTTTTCTTTTTGGAGATGGAGTCTCACTCTGTTGCCCAGGCTGGAGTGCAGTGGCACGATCTTGGCTCACTGCAACCTCCACCTCCCAGGTTGAAGTGATTGTCCTGCCTCAGCCTCCCAAGTAGCTGGGACTACAGGCATGTGCCACCACGCCCGGGTAATTTTTGTATTTTTTGGTAGAGACAAAGTTTCACCATGTTGACCAGGCTGGTCTCGAACTCCTGACTTTAGGTGATCTGCCTGCCTCAGCCTCCCAAAGTACTGGGATTACAGGCGTGAGCCACTGCGCCTGGCCTGAACATTTTCTTCCTTGGCCTATGAGTAAGTTAAAAGGGTTTCAAAATTTCTGAACATATGGAGTTTTTCTGGTTAGCATTCAGTTACTGGTCTCTAACTTAATTGCAATGTAGTTGGGAAACATGTTCTACATTCCATTGAAATGTGTTTAGGTGTGCTTTATGGCTAAGTTTATGATTGATTTATAAATGTATGTGCTTGAAATAAATGTATTTGCAGCTATTTAGATCACTGTGTAATGATCTAAAAATTTCCATTAGGTCAAGATAATTAGGTATAGCAAAGCTTCTGTTTGTCTGCTGAGTTCATCAATTATTACGTTAAAATATTTCATCATAATAGTAGATTTGTATTTCTATCAGCTTTTGCCTTGTATATTTTGAGTCCATGTTATTAGGTACATACAACTTTGTATTGTTCTGATAAATAGAATTTTTTTAAGTCTCTAATGTCATTTCAGGCTGTTTTTTTCCTGATATTAATATAGCTATACCAGCTTTCTTTAAACATTTGTCTGGTATATTTTTTCCTTTTTACTTTCAACCTTTCTGTATTCTTGCTTTATATGTACCTCTAGTAAATGGTGTTATCACTTGACATTTACAAAAATCCGGCCAGGCGCAGTGGCCCACGCCTGTAATCCCAGCACTTTGGGAGGCGGAGGTGGGTGGATTACTGGAGGTCAGGAGTTCATGATTAACCTGGCCAACATGGTGAAACCCCATCTCTACTAAAAATAAAAAATTAGCCAGGCGTGGTGGCGTGTGCCTGTAATGCCAGCTACTTGGGAGGCTGAGGCAGATTTGTTTGAACCCGGGAGACAGAGGTTGTGGTGAGCCAAGATCACACCACTGCACTCTGGCCTGGGCAAAAAGAGCAGAAGCTGTCTCAAAAACTGACTAAATAAATAAATAAATAAATAATCCACTTGGACATATTCTACTGTCATATATTTTAATTAATCCCATACGGTATGACTGTTTTATTAGTGCTTAGAATTAACATATATATTCACTACTGTTTTTTTTTTTTTTTTCTTAATAGCAGACAGCTTATTCAAGGGCAATAGAGAGCAGAGAGTTTATAGAGAAGACATTACACTCTGAACAATGAGACAGAGCAGGCTGCTGAAAGAGAGTGAGCCAGCAGCGTATTCACTACTTTATTCACCCACCATTTCTTCTTGCATCTCAGGCCTTAAATTTAAAATCACTTCTCTTCTGCCTGAAGTGCAACTTTAGGAGTCTTTTAACGAGAGTCTGCTGGTAGCCAACTGTTTTTGTTTGACAAATGCATTTAGCCCTCATTTCTGAAAAACACTCCAAATATATCAATAACTGTGATAAATATAAACAAACTAAACACCCAAATAAAAAAAAAATAAAAAATTTTCAGTGTCTCATGTGTACTGGAAAAAAAAAGTATTGGGAGCAGTTTCTATACATGACCAACAGATTGTTGGGGTTTTTTCCTTTTCTTTTTGAGACAGAGTCTCACTCTGTCACGCAGGTTGGAGTGCAGTGGGGCAATCTTGGATCACTGCAACCTCCGCCTCCTGGGTTCAAGCAATTCTCATGCCTCAGCCTCCCAAGTAGCCGGGATTACAGGCATGTACCGCCATGCCTGGCTAATTTTTATATTTTTAGTAGACATGAGGTTTCAACATGTTGGTCAGGCTGGTCTCAAATTCCTGGCCTCAAGTGATCTGCCCACCTTTGCCTCCCAAAATGCTGGGATTACAGGCATGAGCCACCACACCTGGCCAAGGGATTGTTGATTAACTGTGAATTAATACCTTTCATGAATTGTAAAAAACGCTCACCCATTAACTAGTTAGAGGCCGGGTGCGGTGGCTCACGCCTGTAATCCTAGCAGTTTGGGAGGCTGAGGTTGGTGGATCACCTGAGGTCAATTCAAGACCAGCCTGGCCAACATGGCAAAACCCCATCTCTACTAAAAAATACAAAAATTAGCTGGGTATGGTGGCACGTGCCTGTAATCCCAGCTACTAGGGGGTGCTGAGGCAAGAGGATCGCTTGAACCTGGGAGGTGGAGGTTGCAGTGAGCTGAGATCGTGCCACTGCACTCCAGCCTGGGCAACAGAGCAAGACTCTGTCTCAAAAAAAATAAAAACTATTTAGAGTTAGCCTCTGACCTATTTTCTCTTTTCTTTCCTGTTGGCAATATGATTATACAAATGTTACTCTTTTACTTCCCTTTCCTATTTCTTTCCTCTTTGCTTCTCTCTGCTGCATATGGATACTTCTTTACTACTGCTTAACTCCACTAATTTTTTTTTTTTTTCGTCCTCTCAACCCAGCTTTTCTCAACTTTGGGAAGAACTGGGAAGAGAAGGCCAAATTTTTTAATGTTTTTCAAATCTGCTTGGTCACTTTCAAAGCATCCTGCTCAATATTCATTCTATCTTACACATATTTTATATTCTGACTCTAATAAGCCCAATATTCAGAGGCTTTATGAGTCTGATTCTGTTCTCGTTTCTGTTGGTACACATTCATGGTTCTGCTTCCTTGTGTGTGTTGTCATTTGAAGCCTGTGGTTATGGTGGATTCCTTCACATGGTTCCTGTTGACCTGGAACACTATTAGCTTGGGACTGCTGTCAACTAAATCTTGTTTTGAGGTTTTTTAGAATCCTTAAACCTTAAAAAAAATTTAGGCCAGGCACCGTGGCTCACATCTGTAATCCTAGCACTTAGGGAGGCCGAGGCAGGCAGATCACTTGAGGTCAGGAGTTCAAAACCAGCCTGGCCAACATGGTGAAACCCCGTCTCTACTGAAAATACAAAAAAATTAGCTAGGCGTGGTGGTGGGCACCTGTAATACCAGCTACTTGGGAGGCTGAGGCAGGAGAATTGCTTGAACCCTGGAGGTGAAGGTTGCAGTGAGCCGAGATCACGCTGCTGCACTCCAGCCTGGGTAACAGAGTATGACTCTGCCTCAAAAAAAAAAAAATTTTTTTTTTTTTTAAATCTAAAAAACATTTTCTTGAGACAGACTCTTGCTCTATCACTCAGGCTAGACTGCAGTAGTGCAATCAGGGCTCACTGAAGCTTTAACCCCCTAGGCTCAGGGGATCCACCCACTTCAGGCCCCTCAACAGCTGTGACTACAGGTGCATGCTACCACGCCTGGCTAATTTTTAAATTTTTTGTAGAGACAGGGTCTCCTCTCCCTGTGTTGCCCAGGCTGGTCTCAAACTCGTGGGTTTAAGTGATCTTCCTGCCTCAGCCTCTCAAAGTGCTGGGATTATACACATGAGCCACTGTGCCCGGCCCTCAATCCTTTGAATTGTATGAAAGTTGAGTCACACTGCTCAGCAGCATACTGGAAAAGAAATAATTCTAACTTTGGCATGAAGACCTAAAGTACTAGAATGGATTAGAATAAACCCTTTATTTCTACAGATTAATTTCTCTATAGTGATCCAGACTTAGCTGAGGGTAGTTAATTTAGTGTAAAATGTAAGTATGTACAAATGTAAACAAATAAAAATATGTACATACATATCTGTCTATAAATCATCTCAACTGTTATAACATAGTACTGTGATATCATCCAGTAATTCTACTGTATTTCAAAGAAGTACGGTCACTGAGTGAAAAGAAAAAGGTCAGGAGGAGTTGTCTTAAATGCATTGCTAATTCTCAGATATTCTTTTGAACCTATGAATACTGATGATTTTTCTCCATGCAAGAATATTTTTCGGTTACCAACATATTTTTTAAAACAATGTAACATTTATACCAGCCAAATCAAATGTAATAATCAACATAACATATACAAACTCTAGTAAAATTATTTTATTTAGTTGTAATATCCATCTCTAATTGTTTGAAATAAAAATTTCCATGGTCTTAATTGAACTGTATGTTACTTTCTTGCAGAATGTCCTTTTTTTCATTAAAGTAATTTCTAAACCACTCTATGTGCTCAACCTTCTGTTTAACACTAAGATACGGGTTTTTGGAAAGGCCGCAAGTCACCAGCTCCATGAAGTGGCGAATTGGTCCTTGTTTTGGAAAGCTTTCCAGGTGTTTCTCCAGAAATATATGTTCATGAAATTCTGAACCATCATCATCAAAACCTAGGAAATGAGACAAAATACATTACAATTTTAAATATAAAACCTACATTATATAAATAATATTGAGGTAATATAATATTACGGTTTAAGGCATGAACTTTGGAGTTAGAACCTAGGTTGTAGTTTGAGTCGGAGTCTTGCTCTGTTGCCCCAGATGAAGTGGAGTGGCGTGATCTCAGCTCACTGCAACCTCTGCCTTCTGGGTTTCATATGATTCTCCTGCCTCTACCTCCCGAGTAGCGGGGACTATAAGCATGTACCACCATGCCCAGCTAATTTTTTAATTTTTAGTAGAGATAGTGTTTCACCATGTTGGCCAGGCTGGTCTCAAACTCCTGACCTCAAGTTATCTGCCCGCCTCGGCCTCTCAAAATGCTGGGATTACAGGCGTGAGCCACAGTGCCTGGCCTGGAGTTAGACCTAGCTTTGCCCACCAATTTAACAACAATGACTTTGGACCAATTAATTAACTTCTCTGAGCAGGAGATTCCTCAGGCACAATACTGAGAACTAAAACAGCACCTTGCTGGCATTTTTGTAAAGATCAAAGAGACACAAACTATATACAAAGTTCATTTACAATGCCTAGCATGCCGTAAATGTTAAAAATGTGGTGGCGACACCAGGCGTGGCGGCTCACGCCTATAATCCCAGCACTTCAGGAGGCCAAGGCAGGCGGCTCACTTGAGGTCAGGAGTTCAAGACAAGGCTGGCCAACATGGTGAAACCCTGTCTCCACTAAAAACACCAAAAAAATTAGCCAGGCGTGATGGCATGTGCCTGTAATCCCAACTACTTGGGAGGCTGAGGTATGGAGAATTGTTTGAACCTGAGAGGCAAAGGTTGTAGGGAGCCAAGATTGAGCCACTACATTCCAGCCTGAACAACAGAGTAACACTCTGTCTCAAAAAAATAAATAAATAAATAAATAAAAATAAATAGGATAGTAATTATTTCTAATGATTATTTTTTTCTTTTGAGATGGAGCTTTGCTCTTGTCGCCCAGGCTGGAGTACAGTGGCACAATCTTGGCTGCCTGCAACCTCCACCTCCCAGGTTCAAGTGATCCTCCTGCCTTGGCCTCCCCAGTAGCTGTGATTACAGGTGCCCGTCACCAAGTCCAGCTGATTTTTGTATTTTTAGTAGAGACAGGTTTTCACCATGTTGGTCAGGCTGGCTTGAACTCCTGACCTCAGGTCATCTACCTGCCTTGGCCTCCCAAAGTGCGAGGATCACAGGTGTGAGCCACTGCACCCGGTCACTAATGAATATTTTCATAAACAATGGCAACCATCAAGAACACTTTAAAAACATTTTAAAATATATAAATAAAACAAGATGGAATTGTGAAAAATGTTCAGGCAGCTCATAAGAAGCTAAGAGACCAGGCACCGTGGCTCACACCTATAATCCCAGTACTTTGGGAGGCTGAGGCAGGGGGATTGCTTGAGCCCAGGAGTTCAAGACCAGACTGGGAAACATGGTAAAACCCCGTCTCTACAAAAAGTACAAAAAAGTAGCCAGGTGTGATGGCACGTGCCTGTAGTCCCAGCTACTTGTAAGGCTGAGAGGGGAGGATCACCTGAGCCTGGGAGGTCGAGGCTGTAGTGAGCTGTGATCACACCACTGCACTCTAGCCTGGGCAACAAAGTAAGACCCTGTCTCAAAAAAAAAAGAGCCAAGAAAAGACAGAGCAGGTCGGGAGTGATTGCTCACGCCTGTAATCCCAACACTTTGGGAGGCTGGGTGGTGGCGGGGAGGGGGGGGCTGGGGGGGGCGGCGGGTCACAACGTCAGGAGTTCGAGACCAGCCTGGCCAATGTGGTGAAACCCCATCTCTACTAAAAATACAATTAGCTGGGCATGAAGGCATGCTCCTGTAGTCCCAGCTACTTGGGAGGCTGAGGCAGGAGAACTGCTTGAACCCGGGAGGCGGAGCTTGCAGTGAGCTGAGATTGTGCCACTGCACTCCAGCCTGGACAAGAAAGTGAGACTCTGTCTAAAAAAAAAAAACAAAGAAAGAAAAAGAAAAACAAAAAAGAAAAGACAGAGGAACAAGAAATAGAAAAAATGAACAGAAAATAATACTTTAAATGTAAATAATCTAAGTATATGAATTAAGACAGAGATTGGCACAGTGGATATAAAAACATAAACCAACTATATGTTGTTCATAAGAAATTCACCTTAAACACCACATAGGTAGATTGAAAGTAAAAAGGATGATTAATATTATCTTGGTAACATTAATTTTTTTCAAAAGCATGATTGGCTATATGAATAGAAGATAACGTAGATCAACAGTCTTTTTAACTTAGAATGCTCCAGGAGGGCAGAATGAATAGATCCTTCCTGAATGAATCAATGAATGAATGACAGTCAAGTGGTACTAGCACATATAATGCAAAGGAAAAAAAAGAGCAATAAAGAGGGTATACTATATATAAAAATAAGATCTAGATAGATAGAAAAAGGCTCCAGAGCTATATACAAACTAAACCTCTATTCACTAAAGACATTCTAAACATTCTAAATTATCTTACTAAAAGATAAGCAGCAAGGTCAGCCACAGTGGCTCATGCCTGTAACTCCAGCACTTTGGGAGACCAAGGCAGGTAGACTGCTTGAGCCCAGGAGCTCGAGACTAGCCTGGGCAACCTGACGAAACTCCACCTCTGCCAAAAATACAGAAAAATTAACCAGGCATGGTGGCATGTGCCTGTCACCCCAGCTGTCATACCTTTTTTTTTTTTTTTCTGAGACAGAGTTTCACCTCTTCACCCAGACTGGAGTACAGTGGCACGATCTCTGCTCACTGCAACCTCCGCCTTCTGATTTCAAGCGATTCTCCTGCCTCAGCCTCCAGAGTAGCTGGGATTACAGGCTCCTGCCACCAGGTCTGGTTACTTTTCGTATTTTTAGTAGAGACAGGGTTTTACCATGTTGGCCAGGCTGGTCTCAAACTCCTGACCTCGTGACCCGCCCCTCCTCGGCCTCCCAAAGTGCTGGGATTACAGATGTGAGCCACTGTGCCCCGCCCCAGCTATCATACTTAAGGGACTGAGGTGGGAGGATCACCTAAGCCCAGAGGTCAAGGCTGCAGTGAGCTGTGATTGCGCGACTGCACTCCACCCTGGGTGACAGAGTGTGAGACGCTGTCTCAAAAACAAAAAAACAAAACACACACACACACACACACAAAAGATAAGCAGCAAGGACTTAAACTGTGGCAAACTGAACCCATGCTTAAATCTCTGCTCCCTTGTGACACCTACCAAATGGCCATAAAAAGAGTAAAAAGTACAAAAGCACAAAGATGAAAAGAAAAAGAAACAATAACAGACAAGAGATGGCAGTAAAACTGTAGAAGACGCAAAGTGCACACATGAGTAGTAACTGACTTAGCAGAGGAGAAGATACCAAAACTATCTGTAAAAGACGAAGACAAGAAGCAAAAACACTTAAAAAAGACTTCAAGAATAGAGGAATCGGGTACTACTGAAGTTATGAGTAGGGATAAGGAACAAAAACCAGGAGGATTAATTGAAAATGGGTTTAGGGAACAGATTTCCAGTGTCCCATCTCCCACATGCACCTCTAGCTGCGTATCCTCCTCCACTCCTGAAGAAGATGAGCAGTTTACTTTTTGGAGAAATTAAAATGGAAAGAGAAAATAAGTTGTTGGATTGATAAGAGCAGAATTAAGTGAAAGTCTATATGCTGAATGGTGAGACACTCCCCTCATCCCCAATCCTTTTCCCCCACCCAAAGGAAAAAAAGAGCAATAAAGAGCGTACATTATATACAAAAATAAGTTCTAGATAAATAGAAAAAGGCTACAGAGCTATGTACAAATTCAATCTCTATTCGCTAAAGACATTCTAAACATTCTAAATTATCTCACAGCCAACATCTATAGCCTCAAGTCAAGTGGTTGGAAGATTTCTCATTGGAGAAACTCAGTGAGAAGAATTATAAATATGGAGTTACGAAAGTCCTTAAATGAAGAGGTTCCCTCCCAATTCCTCTCAAATGAAGCCACCAGTTAACTAGTCCCATCCATTCACACACATCTAACAAACAGCTTTTCATGGCTTCAAGTATAAAAAAACCTTCAAAGAACAGTAGATATTTTAAGAAAGTGTCTAACATAAGTGACAGACACCTTGGCAGGAACGGATACCTATCTCTCAAATCCATTCTGGCTTTTTATCTTGGTAAAAGAACTAAACATGTGCATGGGCAGGGGGTGGTGACTCATGTCTGTAATCTCAGCACTTTGGGAGGCCGAGGCAGGAGGACAGCTTGAAGTCAGGAGTTTAAGACCAGCCTGAGCAACAAAGTGAGACCCTGTCTCTATGGAACATTTAAAAATTAGCCAGGCGTGGTGGTGCGCACCTGTAGTCCTAGCACCTGGAACACTGGGGACAGGAGGATCAATCACTTGAATCTAGGAGTTTGAGGCTGCAGTAAGCTGTGATCACACCGCTGCACTCCAGAATGAGTGACAGAGTGACACTACACCTCTTAAAAGAAAGAAAAAAACCTGTACATGGCTGTTCGGCAACATTACATTTCCCAGCCCCTTCTGGGTTAGGCATTGGTATATGTTTAAATTATTACCAGCAGAACCTAAACAGAAGTGATGTGTGACATTTACAGCCCAGAGCCTTCAAGAGAATGAAACTGGGTCAGGCACAGTGGCTCACGCCTGTAATCTCAACACTTTTGGGGAAAAAATCTAATACTAAAAAGAAGAACAACGACAATGCATTTAGTTTTTTTTTTTTTTTTTTTTTTTTTGAGAGGGAGTCTCACTCTGTTACCCAGGCTGGAGTGCAATGGCACAATCTCAGCTTACTGCAACCTCTGCCTCCTGGGTTCAAGCGATTCTCCTGCCTCAGCCTCCTGAGTAGTTGGGATTACAGGTACTCACCACCATGCCCAGCTAATTTTTGTATTTTTAGTAGAGATGGGTTTTCACCATGTTGGCCAGGCTGG